ATGTAGTTGATCATGGTTTGAGTCTTAGACCTGGTAGGAGTTCAGCAACGTAGCCGTTCCACCATCTGCTGGTCCCAACGGTGTTTTTTTCTTTTTCCCCCAACAGTATTTTTATAAATATCTTCACAAGAAGTTTTGTTAGATGTGTCAAGAAAAATGTTAAAATACATAAACTAACACTTGAGGGGATAAGCTGTCTTCAGAATAATATGTATTCAGTATGAGCCGACTTATGTAGAACATTTTTTAAAAAAGACCAACTTCTCCATACAAGTGTACATATACAATTATGCATTAAAATGTATGCACAAAGGTCTGTGCGAATGTACACCGATTACTGGTACGTAAAACGGGATTGGGGATAGAAAGAAAGGAATCTACAGTTATTTTCACTTGCTTTTTGGTTCTTAAATTGTGAGAGGGCATGTGTACTCAGCAGAGACAGACAGAGAACGAGAGGGGACACACTCCCCAGGGGGGCCAGCTCACACCAGTCCCTTCTCTTCCACTTACCCATCTTGTCAGGACTCGGGGCAAGCACCCACGGACACCTGATGTGTTTTCAAGCTGCCAGGGCTGGGATCTGAACTGCTGTTGGCCATGTGGGACCCAGCTCCCTAACACTAGGTCACAGACAGTCCTTAAGTGTTTTGGTGGATAATATGGACTGGACCATAAGAACATCAAATGGTGGAAAGCTATGCAGGTGAAAACAAGTCCCTCTCCCACTGCTGTCCCTAGTTTTCCTCCCCAAAGGCAGCCCCCTTCCACCTGCTACCTTTCAGCACTGTTCCAATACATGGAAATAAATGTTTACAAACAATGCTCACTTTATAAAACATAAATGCTACCCCACTGGCTCAGGATCGCCACCCCTTTCTCAGTTCCCTCTTAGCTCCTGACTCAGAAACAACTACCTGCATGCCCACTTTACCTCCAGTCGGCCTTGCTGGGTTTCATAGACCACCTGGGGATTCTCCTGCAGTATGCTGCCATAGAGCTCCCGGAAGTGGGCTACGTTGGGCTTCACAATATTCCACACTTTCGTCTTTTCCTCTCCAACGACCATCCGAAAGTCGCCTATAGACAGAACAAACAAAAAAAAAACAATCTCCATGGAGGACCCGCACTTTGACCTATGAATAGCAGTCCCCAAAATGCTACTGCACTGGTTCAACCTGGCAGGATTCCTTCATCAGAACACTTCTGAGGGTTTCTTTGGGGTGCCTGTGACTGAGCCACCAAGAACCAGGCGACTCCACATTGTGCTGAGTCTTGGAGTCCATCTCAGCAGACTAAACCTTAGGAAAACCAGTCTCTACCATCTGTCTTTCACTTCCCTCAAAATGAGCGTTACAGAACCAGCCTTTTAACTCCCCTAACACAAATCGAGCAAATGCCTAACTACTGGGTAGTTAGAAAGGCCATAACATACTTTTTCTATGCAAAAATTATGCAAAAAGGCACCATGACTTTTCCGACAAACCAATAATGAAAGTACGACTTTGCTGAGTCTTTACAGATACCAGGCTGTGGAGACAGGGAGGGGGAAAAAAGTCACCAGCCCCCTCCCTAGGACCAGCTAAGAGGACCTGATCAGCTCAAGCTTTGCAAAGCTACACCTAGACCCTCGCTGTTCCTATCCTGGACCTCCACTTCGCTTCAGCTACCTTGTTAATCATGACTTATCTCTAAGCCCCCTGCACAGAACTGGACCCAGTCATCCTGCCCTGCATGCCCAGAACAGAACTGTCCCCTACACGGACTGCCCCCCGATGCTGCTGGGTCTCCTTGTGATCCTGTCCAAAGGCAATGGCCAGGCCTCCTCATGCTTCTGCCCAGGACAATGAATAGCTTACCTTTGTTTAGATGTACCTCACACTGACTCTCCCCTGTGTCAGCACTGGAGACCTTATATCTGTCCAGTACAGTGGAGACGGCTATGGACTCTGGTCCACTCTCTCTACTGTGTGGGTCTCAGCTGAAATAAATTCTGTTCCTATTCACCAACTCATCTCTGTCAAAAACTGAGTGGTATGAACCTGATTTCTGGTCGCCCTGAACTAGTATCTCTGCCTGTTCCAGCGTCACTTCATGGATATGATTAATCTTATTACATCTGATCATCACAAGAGCAATGAGGGCTAACAGTCCCAGTAAGAAGTCAGTAGCCTCTGTGGCACAGTCAGTAGCCTGTTGGGTTATGGAGCTAGAAGTCACATGGTGACTGTGGTTCAAATCCCCACCACCTAAAAACACACTGTGCATATGTACGAGCCCAGGATCCCAGCAGGCTAACCCTGGAAGAAGGGGATCAAAATGTGATGTGCCTTTCTCTCATGCATGGGTATGCTCTATTATAATTTCTTTTAATTAATAAATGTATCATTTTTTTCCTTTTCCCTTTTTCTTCTTTTTTTTTTCTTTTCTTTTTTTTTTTTTTTCAGGTTTGTACGCTCACTGGAGAAAGAGAGAGGGAAAGTGAGCAATCACCCCATAGGAGGGACAGCCAAGCTGCAATCCCTTCTCCTCCAGTCTCCTTCAGGGATTTTGGGCACACATGCACACCACAGGATTTTCAAGCCATCAGGTCCAGGGACTAAACAGTAGTCACCCATGTGGGAGTCCGGCACCTTAACCACTATATCACCTGCTGGCCCCATGTACATTTCTTAACTAATAAATAAAAGAGGGCCCAGCAGATGGTTGAGTGGTTACATCACTGGACTCCCACATGGCCTACTGGTTCAAGTCCCAAACTCTGTGGCTTCAAACTCATGCTGGGCGTGTGTGAGTGCGTGCCAGGAGGCGAACGGAGAAGGGACTGTCGTGTGGCCATTTCCCCTTGGGGGGTGATTTCCTGCTGTCTCTCTGGGGAGCACAAGTGCCCTATAGCAAAAATCTCTCCAAAAAAGAAAAAAGAGGAGGTTTACAATTAAGATGAAATGGATAGCAGATAAGACTTCAAAAATTGCAAGTGGTTGGTTAAGGTGCTGGACTCCCATGTGACTGACTGCAGTGTGAGTTCCAGACCTGGAAGTCTGAAACTCATGCCAGGTGTGTGTGTGCATGTGCCCAGAATCCTAAAAGGAGAATGGAGAAGAAAGGACTGTAGTGTGGCCATCCCCTCGGGGTGGGGGTGGGAGGTAATTTCTTGCTTTCTGTCTCTCTTGTCTCTCCAGTAAGCACACATGGTCTATAGCAAAAATCTCTCAAAAAAGAGTTTCAACTGGTGAAAAACAAATACATTTGCCTATGGGATGAAGTGAGCTGCAAAATCAACAATTTCGAGGGACAAAGAGTCCACTTTGAAACAAATGCTAGGGTATCGCCTGTGTCATTGACAATGGCAAGGATAAAGATGAGATGGGAACACCTGAGGCAATGCCTAATGAGGCAAATTCAAAACTGGCTGGACACTGCATAAGGCCCTCCTGGGTTACACTGGTGAGAGCAACATGGCCAAAACCTCTGGGGTGCAGACAAGTCCTCCGGGTAGTCAGGGTGGCAAGTGTAGGCAGTCATCCCCGCTGCTGAAGAATCCCCTGGGACCAGGATGATGATGTAATTTATCACCCACACTAGGTCAGCTCTGAGTGAAGGGAGCAATGAGTAATTACACCAGGACAAGTACAAACTGGGCAAGCCATCGCATGGGGTCACCCCTGCCAATTTCTTTCCTCTGAAGTGGGTAAGAGGTCAAAGAGATCATTACCGTCCACGTCAGATCTTCCTAGGGCAAATTTTCTGCTTATTTTATAGAAAATGAAAACACAAAAATGTTAATAGCAAGTACTTCAGAAAGGAGTTAAATATCTCAGTTTCTAAGCCAGCTCTGTGGCCTGGTGGTCAAAGCAGTCAGATCTCACATGGCTGGCCACATGGCTTGAGTTCTAGGCCTGGAGGCTTGAGAAACATGCCGGGCACAAGTACATGCATGCCCAAAATCCTGAAAGGGAGAAACGGAGAAGGGATTATGGCATGTCTGTTACCCATTGGAGGTCTCTCTTCGATGAGTATCCATATCCTCTGATAATTAAAAAAGATTACAGGGACCAGCAGATGGTGTAATGGTTACATTGCTGGACTTCTACATAGTTGACTATAGTTCAAGTCCTGGCCCCAGAGGCTTAAAACTCACACCAGACATGTGTGCATGTGTACCCAATACCAGAAGAGAATGGAGTAGAAGGGACTGTGGTGTGGCTATCCTCCCTAGGGGGTGATTTCTTGCTTTCTGTTTCTCTGGCAAGTGCATGCACCTTATAGCAACAATTTCAATTAAAAAAAAAGATTACAATAATACACATAGCAAGATAGAGAATGGTCATTTCCAGTTTACAGATGAGGAGGCTGAGGTGCGAAGATATCTGCCCAAGGTCCCACCGTCCCTCACTATGAGGGCAGTGACCTTTTAGGTGACTACTGTGCTCTACTTTAAATTTTCCTCTCCTTACCTCACTCTGAAATACTGCCACATCCCTCCAAGCATTTGAAATAGATTCCTGGAAAGCACTGATG